TCTTAAGTTTACAGGCGCAGTTCTCACACGTGATCAAACTTCAGACATCCTCACCGTTCAACGGACACGACTTCTTTACCTGGAGCTTCGAGTTCGAGCTGCTGATGGAGGCCGCGCATCTTCTGGGATACTTCAACGGGTCCCTGCCATTCCCAAGCAACGGCACTGGGAAGGAACAAGAGATCTTCACATATCAGTCGCTGCTGGCGTACACGGTACTCCTGAGAAACCTGTCACCACAAGAGCAGCAGAGCATCAGAACGTATCGGAGTTATGGAAACTCCGCGGAGCTCGCATGGCACCACCTCAAATGCCTTTACCAAGCAAACGACAGCGTGACACAAAGCAGACTCATGCAACAGCTGACAACAATACAGATGAAGACCGGGGAAAAGGCGATGCAGTATATGAGTCGCTGCCAGACCCTCCGCGACCGCCTGCTTCGGTGCGGAGGAACGATCACTGAAGAAAGCTTCGTGACACTTGTCCTCGCCGGGCTCGGGCCAGAATGGAGAACCACACGATCACTTCTTCGAGCCCACGGAAGAATTTCGGAGATGCACCTCTGCGCCGAGCTTCACGCTGAACAACAGGAGATGGATCTGTTCGAGGAAAGACAACCAAGGAAGCAACAGCAGTTAGTCTTCTACACTCAAAGAAGAAATGACAACAACTACAACCGACGCAGCAAGCAAGATCAACGTGACAACCGAGGACTCACCATCGTGCCGCCGTTCTGCCACAACTGTCAGACTTCCGGGCACTCCAAGGTCAACTGCAACCGCCCTCGCGTTTACCGTGCAGCAGACCCACAAGTCGCTTCCACTCAAGCAAGTCCTCCAAGGCGCTCTTCAACATCTGCACAACAAACACCCAACATCATCAACTGCATGGTACACATCGACAACTGCGCACCCGCTTCACCACCCACTTACGCACCAGACGAAGAGGAATTCCCGCCGCCGCGCTCGCAAGGACTTCAGGTCAACCCGACATACGCTGCAGTCGCTAACGCCGAACCCACCGGGCGGAACACCTGGTTCTTGGACAGTTGCTGCGGTCAGCACATGTGCTCCTCCGGACGCTTCGTACAACACGAGCGACGCCTCAACCGTGACGTCGTCATCACCGTCGCCAACAACGAAAACCTGAAAACAAATAGACAAGGCGTGGTTCAGTTACAATCAATGGAGACAAACGTTATTCTTCAGCTCAACAAGGTCCTCATCGTTGACAATCTGGGATACAACCTATTAAGCGTAAGCCAACTAATGGCTAAGGGGATTCACCTGGAGTGCGACTCCTTCTCCAACGAGTTCCGACTTTACCACGGGAAGGGCGGTCTCTTCATCGGTCGTGCCCTCCTGAAGTCCGGTGTCTTCGTGTTGGACTTCGTCCCCGACCGCGGAACTGCCGACAGCGACGGTATCGTATCCTTCGCCGCCTGGACTCATCCGCCAGATCTTGATCCCGACTTCGACAGCGACGGCTTCTGGCACTCCAACACCATACCTGCAGCAGAAAGAACACGAGCATTAGCAGTTATCAGACAAGAAAGACAAGTACCCGCATGTGTCCCAACAAAACCATCACCTGCAGTATCGGCAGCAGGACCCAGCCGAGTACCACCACCAGCGACACGAGGACAGCCAACCGAAGCAGACCAACTTATGCCCGCCACACGAGAAGCTTGTCGAAGTCCCGCCTCGGTCGTCGCGTTCTTCTCCAACGCCGACATCTACCACCGCTCGCCCGGTCACCGCGCTCCCGACGACATCTGGCACCAACGTCTCGGACATCCTGCAAACAGCACGATACTTCAAACAATCCAAGCAGAAGTGTTAGAACGCAACGCCCTTCTGACGACGAGCGGCCAGGAACTCCGACGACCACGCGCACGGTGTTTCACATGCCCCGAAGCAGATCTTCCTCATCAACCTTTCCCAGCCCATCACAATCCAAGCGCACCCACTTACGCTCCGATGGAAAAGGTCTACAGCGATATTCTAAACATGCCTCGAGACGACACCGAAGCCGACTTCAACTACGTCATCACGTTCATCGACGCCGCAACCAGATACGTCTGGCACTTCAATCTCAAAACGCGCGATCAAGCCTTCGAGGCATTCACCACATGGCTTCCAATCGCCGAACGAGAGTCAGGAACCAAACTCAAGAGTTTCCAGTCAGACGGTGCACTGGAATACCAGTCACAACGCTTCAGGACCTATCTCGCGGAAAGGGGAATCCGACGCCTGGTGTCTCTGCCCTATGCTCACCAGCAGCAGGGGGTAGCAGAACGCATGAACCGGACCTTGCAGACGACGATGCGAAAACTGCTTCTGGGGATGAGGCTGCCCAACGCACTGTGGCCAGACGCGATGACACATGCAGTCCACCTGCACAACCTGTTGTCCTCGTCATCGCTCCCCAACAACGCATCACCACACCTGCTGTGGACGGGAAAAAGGGGCAGCACAAAATTACTTCGAGTTTTCGGCTGCATGGTACAATACAGACCCCACACAGCTCGAGCAGGACGCTTCACTCAACGAGCTCGGTGGGGACTACACCTCGGCATCGCCAAACATTTTCACGCGTGGAAGATCCTCGACATACAAGACAAAAATACGGTGGCCTCACGTGATGTTATCTTCTACGAGCGACTGACGCTGCAGCATTACCTGGACAACATTGCCAACTCAGACGACCCCACCGACGGCTTCGCGGGCCTTCGCTCCTTCGCTGACCATGCTGCCGAGGCTGACGCAGCAGAAGAAGACGTACCTGGAGCCTCGGAAGCTGCCGGGCCACTCCCATTCTGTTCCATACCTGTTCCACTCGATGAAGATAATCCCCTCGATAGCAACAACCTCGACACCTTTTACCACTTCGCCGACCAAGGTTACGCTACACCGCACCCCGTCGACACGAATATTTCGGAACGCATCGGCCCCAATTTCTTACCTGACCCCGAAGACGGTGACGAAGCAGCTTATTCGGGGAATGACAATTCCCCTCGACACACACCCACGGGACTCCAGATTCTAGGCCTCTGGGTCTCCGTCCAGCATCCGCCGCCGCCTTCTACGCGTGAGCCTTCAACCTTGTCGCAGGCTCTGGGGGGGGAACATAAGGCAAAATGGAAAGAAGCGATGGAAAAGGAGTTAAAAGCTCTGCAAGACCGAGAAACATGGAAACTGGTACCTGCAACGAGCATCAACGGGAAGAACGTTCTCTCGGGGAAATGGGTGTACCGCATCAAGACCAACTCAGACGGCTCCATCGAACGATTCAAAGCTCGATGGGTCGTACGAGGCTTCGATCAACGATACGGAACCGACTACACAGAAACCTTCGCCCCAGTCTCCCGTCACACCTCATTACGCATCCTACTCGCCGTCGCGGCCACAAAAACACTACCACTACGCCAAATCGATGTCGCGAATGCGTTCCTATACGCACCTGTGGACGCTGAGATCTTCGTCGAACAACCCCACGGATTCATCGACGACCCCACGAAAATATGCCGACTGACAAAATCCCTATACGGGATCAAGCAAGCCCCGCGGCTCTGGCAGCAGCATCTTCACAGCCGTCTCGTAAAAATCGGCTTCCTACAGCTGCCGCATGACCAAGGGATGTACCGACTGCAGAAGGGAAGAGAGTATGTTCTGCTCATCGTCTACGTCGACGACCTGCTCTACATCGGCTCAACTACCGACATCGCCACCTGGTTCGAAGGGGAGCTGAAAGAAGATTTAACTCTCACGGTGTCCGACGAAGTTACGCAGTACCTAGGACTGAACGTCGTCGAAGACGACACGGCGTTCTACCTACACGCTGGAAAGTACTCAAGCACCGTCGCGAAGAAATTCGCTCTAACACCGACTGCGGTCCCAACTCCCTACCGCTACGGGAACAACGGCAGCGCCTCTACAAAACTCCCCGCGAAACAAATCCAGGAGTATCAACAGAAGCTCGGCTGCCTACTATTCGCAGCAGTAACCTGCCGACCCGACCTATCCTATAGTGCGAGTCAGCTGGCGACACATCTGAAGCATCCGCAACAGGAAGATCTCGAAGAACTCAATCGAGCGCTACTCTACTTCGTCTCCACGCCGACGATCGGGCTTACCTACAGCAAGGCAACAACACCGTCCGTACGACTACTCGGATACGTCGACGCCGACCACGCGGGAGACAGCGAAAATCGACGGTCTAGGACGGGCTACATCTACCGACTAGAACCTATCGGAACTATCTCCTGGCAGTCGAGCAAGCAGGAGTTAATCGCACTATCCTCGGCTGAAGCAGAGTATATCGCCCTTTGTACTGCGACCAAGGAAGGACTCTACCTACGAGAGTTACTCGAAGAAGCGAAGATCGCGACCCTGCCCGCCTTCTCACTCCTCTGCGACAACCAATCTGCGATCAAAATCGCGAACAAGGACGGCTTCGCCAATCGAACCAAGCACATCGCCCTGCGGTACTTCTTCGTCAAGGATGAAATCGCGAAGGGGAGACTTCAACTCAGTTACTGCCCGACGACAGAAATGGCCGCAGATTATCTGACGAAGAAATTGGCGAAAGCAAAATTCGACTACTGCATGCTCCTAACCGGGCAAACAAACGCCACCGGATCTGAACACTCCAGCACTCCAGAAACGAAGGGGAGTGTTGGAAATATCTCAAGGACTTAAGCGTTTCTGAAGTGTAACACTGTACTCGAGGAAGATTACAGGGGAGCACGCGAGTCAACGGAGGTTACACGAGGGGGCGGACAAAGAATGCGAAAGGACTCGAAAGGTCGCAACTGGAGGTTGCGACTGACCGTTACAACATCACGGATGGTAACCGAAGCGGCAATCGAGTCGCTGTGCGACTCGATAAACCGTTCCTGTAACTGTATTCTACAACTGCTTTCTTATCTACTATATATTGCTGTATGCTTGTTTCTTTAATCAATCACTTGTTCTCACATACTAGTACAAGGGTTCAACCGTCTCAACTTCCGCTGCACTACTCCAAGTCTCAAGTCTCTACAAGCTGGGACTTAGTCTCTGCAAAAGATCCTAAGGGCTTTTCTCAGCCCAACACAACTCTTTCAAAATGCTCATAAAAAAGGGGACTTCCCTTATTTGCATGTGTTTCTTCATTCACCTCAATAATGATCCATCATGCAATCTCGCATCAACCGCCAATGGTGATCATGGGTCTATTGTGTGTTCGCGCAATCTCCAGCATGCCCGCATGAGCAGCTTTCTTCCGCTTGACCTGCTCGGTTGGTAAGTGTCAATTGGGATGCGAAAACAACACTTAGCAAATGGACCATCATGGAGGGCAATGCACCATAATGAAACAGCATATTTACCATCAATAGCAGTCTAATGAACAGTACAGTGAGGAGAAGGCATACCGCAGCAGAGATGAGGGAGAGGAGCTCCTCCTGTGTTGCTCCCTGCCTCAGCGCATCCTTCAGACTCACCTGCCAGCAACATCAGATTCGATGGCACCAAGAGATCATACTCGTGCGAATAGACGAGATCAGAAAAGTGTAGCTTACATGTGAAGGGAAGTAATTATGAGTCGGATCATGCATGTGAGAGCATGTGAGGAACACACGCGAAAAAAAAACGGTTGCCACGAAAGAGTGCAGCAGGGGAGAGCAGAGCAGCGAGGGAGAAAGAGAAAGGGGGTTTGAAAACCATTCCATAGAGGGACTGTTTGGGAGACTTTACACGTGATGTTTCCCCAACAGTATAGTTTTGAGGCGCCTCAAAACTAGACTTTACACGTTATGTTTCCCCAACAGTATAGTTTTGAGGCGCCTCAAAACTAGACTTTACACGTTATGTTTCCCCAACAGTAACCACTTGCACAGCCCACCTCGTTGGGTCCAGAGAGGCACATTTTGAGGTTGCCATCCGCCAGCAGCCTCAGGCGAGTGTGCAGCCGGAGCAGAAGTGGGATGTCATGGACGAGTCGACTTTTGAGTCGACTCAAAAGTCAGCTCAGAAGTGGGATGTCATGGGCGAGTCACTAGACACGCTGCCCACCGGAGTGGGGTATGTACGTATGGGGCATGGCCCATGGGTAGGTGCCTGTAGCACATCACAAGCCTCACCTCATTGGGCCCGAAGAGGCACACTTTGAGATTCCCATCAGCCAGGAGGCGCAGGCGAGTGCAACCGGAGCAGAAGTGCGACGTCATGGACGAGATCACCGACACGCTGCCCGCAAACCCGGGCACCTGAAAGTTCTTCGCCGTGTCCGATGGGTGGTCCTGGAGGCGAGCTATGTTGGGATGCTGCTGCTTCTGCGGATGGGGAAGGAGTGGGAGGAGGAAAGGGAGAGGGTGAGGGTAAGGTGCCGAGCGGTCGGATGGGTGGTCTTAGAGGCGAGCAATGTCGGGGTGGCGCTGCTTCAGAAGACAGGGAAGGAGGGAGGATGGGGAGAATGGGGGTGGGGGGGTTGGGGGTGGGGATGGGGAAGAGAGGGGGAGGGAGGCATGGAAAGGAGGAGAGGTATGATGGTTGATCATTAGATGGGTGGTCCTTAGATGGGTGGTCCTTGAGGCGAGCGATGCTGGGATGATGCTGCTTCTGAGGGAGGGGGAGGGCCGGGATGGAGTTGGGTGGGCGAGGAATCGGGGGAGGGTGAGAAGAGGGAGGGGACGGGGGGGTGGGGGGAAGGGAAGCGCAGGCTGGAATGGGGAAGGGGGAAGACAGGGATCTAGTTTTGAGGCGCCTCAAAACTAGGGAGGGGACGGGGGGGTGGGGGGAAGGGGAGAACAGGCTGGAATGGGGAAGGGGGAAGACAGGGATGGGTGAGGTTCGAGGCGGAAGGCAAAAGAGGAAAGGGCGGAGAGGGGACAGGAAGCTAGTTTTGAGGCGCCTCAAAACTGGAGAGGGGACAGGAAGCACGCGAGACGGTCGAGGAGGTGCGTGCGGGTGAGTTTGCAGGGTGTTTTTGAGAATTCTAAAAAATACCGTGAGCAAACCAAGAGTCGACGAATCTGAAACTTACAATGCGCGCCATCATCTCTGCGCAAGACACCATTTTTCTTGGTTGGTGTGCCGCACGTTGCCATCGAAGGGCATGAAGTCGATGAATCTCACGCTGATAGGGTGGTGGTCCCTAGTCACCTCTTCCCCACTCGAGAGACACACAATGCGCCCATCACCTTAGGGTGCGAAACCAACTCTTCCGTGCACCATACATAGCCGCTGACAAGGCTCAAGGCGGGTTCTGAGTCGACTCAAAAGCAGAACCTTAGGGAATGAAAACATCTCTTCCGTGCACGGTGCAACACCATACATTCCCGCTGACAAGGCTCAATTCAGGCCCTGGTCACCCCTTCCCCCACCCAAGAGATTGAGAGATTGAGACTCACAATGCGCGCCATCATCTCGGCATATGACACCATCTTCTTGGTCTTCCACACATTGCCGTCAAAGGGCATGAACTCGATGAATCGCACGTTGATGGGGCGGTCCCTCGTGAGCGCCACAAAGTCCAGAATCTCGTCGTCGTTCACACCGCGCATCACCACACAGTTGAGCTGCAGGGGGCGCAGTGAGGGATGGGGGGGGGGGGGGGGGGGGAGGGAGAGACAGGAATGGAGGCATTGATGGGCGGTCCCTCGGTGAGCGCCACAATGTCCAGCAGATCGTCGTCGTTCACACCGCGCATCACCACACAGTTGAGCTGCAGGCATGGTGGTCCGTGGCTTAACCCCTGACAGCTGAGATTTCACGATTACTGCTTTATTTCCTGTCACTGAATCCACTGAAGGCAATCCTTTCCCACAATTAGCGGCTTAAAGCCCAGGTCTAGTGCCACGTCAATGGCCTTGAGGAGAATGCGAGCGTGACCCTTTCTCTGTGTGAGCTGCTCGAACTTGGGCTCCATAAGTGTGTCCAGAGTCCAGACTCACGTCTAACGTGTAATCCCCTCCCCTGGTATGGTATGGACTTCTCACCTTCAGCGGTTTGAACCCCAGGTCTAGTGCCATGTCAATGGCCTTCAAAACGCGCGCGTGCCCCTTTCTCCGTGTGAGCAGCTCGAACTTGGGCTCCACGAGCGTGTCCAGGCTGACGTTTAGGTGAGAGACGCCCGCTGCTTTAAGCGCCGGCATCTTGGCTGGCAGCAGAATGCCGTTGGACGTCATGGCCAGGCTCTTAAGTCCTGGAGATACGGGTTGGACGATGGACACGGCAGGAATGCGTTACTGGGAGTAAGAGAGGTTGAGTTGGGGCCATGCAGCAGACATCCGCTGCTTTCAGTGCCAGACGATACGAGTATGCGGGACCTTCCAAGGTACATGACCCGCTGCACCTCCGCTGGGAGGGAGGAGTATGCCATTCTTTAGGGAACTGTGAACAGTATGCCATACAAGGTCATGGCTAGGGACCTTGAACCCTGGAGGGACAGGGTGGATTTTTGAGGCGCCTCAAAAATCGTCTCTTGAGCCCTGGAGGGACAGGGTGGTTGGTTGGTGCGGAAATGCAGAGGGTGAATCTATAAGTGCGCCTAAGAAGCCTAATGCTAGACGAGGGTTAGGGGGTGGGAGAGTAAGGTTGGTTGGAGTCAAATGCGAATGCAAAAAAGTGACTTGTGAGTCAACTCGAAAGCCGGACGCCATGGCTGGGCTCTTGAGCCCCCGGCAGGCAGGTAGACTCGCACCAGCGTCAGCAGAATCAGCAGCGTCAGCAGGATGGGAGTGGGAAGGGGAAGAGCGATGCCAGTGTTGATTATTCACCCAAGAGCCAGTTATGGGTAGAAGGCATGCAAGTGAGCGCGCGGCCAGGTGTTGGACTCCACACCTGAGGTGATTTTTGAGGCAACTAAAAAAACACCAGGAGCCAGGTAAGGGTACACGGCATGCGAGTGAGTGCACGGGTGACCGACTCCACACACCAGGCCGTGCAGTCAATCGCAATGGTGCAGAGCGTGAGTGGCAGATAGATCATAGATGCATGCACCGATGCCTCGTTGTCGAACCATGGGTTCATGCCATGCCATGTGTATATCAGCATGCCATGAGCATATCAGCTCGTGACGTGTGGGTCTACCATGGTGGAAACATCAGCATATCAGCCTTCATCAGCATGCCATGTGTATATCAGCTCGTGACGTGTGGGTCTGTGCCTGATTGATAGAGACCATACATGGCAGTGCAGAGGGCGAGCGGCATATGCAAACAACAACTCGTTTGTTCACTGCAATGCCATTTTGTGTCGGTTCAGGTCACGCACGAGTGGGTCACGACTCGCGCCTTGCCAGTTTGCTGCCCGATGGGCCGCCTACCTGGCAGTGCGGAGAGCGAGTGGCAAGTGTCACCAACGCCTCGTCTAACCATGGGTTCATGACATGAGTATATGACTTGACAGTATATGGGCCCATGACTATGACAGTACATGGGCCCATGACTTGTGAGTTCGCACCTGTCCGATAGAGTGTGCCTACCTGGCAGTGCGGAGAGCGAGTGGCAGATGTCCACAATGTCTCGCCTGACTGTGGGTTCGCCCCCTGTCAGCCTGATTTTACTCACGCCTTGAGACACGAACACAGACGCCAGGCGGATTATTTCCTCCGTCGACAGAAGGTTCCTGGAAGCAGGAAAACAGGTGGGGCACAGAGGAAATTTTGAAACGGAAGGGTTAGAAAGGGGAAAAAACCAGCAGGGAGAGGTAACCCTGCTGGGGGAGGTAACCTATTGGTTATATAGGCCTTCAGCTGGTATGCAGTAGGAGCAGCGCAGGTTGCACCTCTCAGTGAGGAACAGGTTACATTGCAGCAATCCGTGGTTACCACCGTGGCCCATGGTTACTACCGTGGTTACCACTCACTCTTTGGGCGTGAGCTCCACGCCTTCGGCTGGCATCCAGTAGGAGCAGCGAAGGTTGCACCCCTCCGTCAGGGACTCATTCCATAGTTGCACATTCTGAGCAGCGTAAATGTGTAACCACGGCACCATTCGTGGTTACCACTCACTCTTTGGGCGTGAGGTCCACCCCTTCGGCCGGCATGCAGTAGGAGCAGCGCAGGTTGCACCTCTCCGTGAGCGATATCCGCAGGTAGCTGTGCTGCCGCCCAAAAGAGTCTGTCAAAACATCCGTCACCTCCTCATTCCCAGCGATACCAGCCTCAGCCATAGCAGCCTTAGCCCTAGCAGCTCTCGCCATCACATGACTTCCAGCTACAGCAGCATCACCTAGATTTCGCGAAAGAGTCCCAGCCCCAGCCAAGCCAGCTCTGGACTCTTCATTCCTAAAGCCCGCATTTTCCACTTCCGCTGCACTCTGCTGCTTCCCTTGGCCCACCGCCTCCTCCGCCCCGCTCCGCTCCCTCTCCCCTCCGCACTCCCCTCCGCTCTCCCCTCCGCTCGCCCTTTCCTTCCGTTTCTCCGCATTTCCCTCCTCCTCTCTTTCCTCCCCTTCCACGTCACCCTCCTCCTCCTCTTCCTCCTCCTCTTCCTCCTCCTCCTCCTCCTCCTCTTCCTCCTCCTGAACCGCCCGCGCAGCCGCAAGGCTCGCAGCATATCGCTGCTGATGCTGGTGCTGCAGCTGGTGGGGCGTCTTGTCGCGTTGCTGCTGGTGGGCTGTCATGTCGCGTACTAGCGGCGGGTTGTGAACTTGCGGGGATGAGAGGGAGTGATGGAAGCGGCTGTGGAGGAACGGGAGGAAGAAATCCAAAGTCGGCGCATGCAGGGCGAACGATGAGGGTCCAAAGGTCCGCATGGAATGAGCCATAATCAGCCCGAGGCCCTGTGATCTATGGATTAGTGGACTATTGTTCCGACATTCATGAGCGACGTCGCGGCATGCCACGCTGGCATCGCCGCCGTACGGCGGCAGCGCGTCGATTCGGTCCGATGCGACAGGAAGCGGAATGTCGCATGTAACAGCTGGATCGGATCGTTGCTCTCTGAAATAGGTTTCGCCGAGGTCTTCGTGATCGGTTTCGCGATAGGATGCGCGATCGACAGCAGCAGAAAGGCTTCGCGTCCGGGAGATGCTTTGCTCTGCGAAGAAGGAATCGCTGGCGCCATGCGACTCGGAGCGTCGCACGCTGCGAGCGACGTACGGGAGAAGCAGTCGCGAAACGCATGCGACTGCGTGTCGATACTGCTGCGGTGGCTGGCCATGCCAGCCGAGGGGCATCGACGCGGGTAACATCGGCGATTGCGGGAGGAGAACAATCTAGAATCAATTTCAGTCAATTGCAGTCAATTCCTGTCAGCTAAGGGTACGATATGTTGTTGAGCTGATGGCACAACGGGCAAGAAACGAGAATAGGCTCCAAGGCCTTTCGAGCAAACGGGTAGAGGTAGTGCATAAGCTGCAAACGCTCTTATGCATCGAGCGCTGCTTCACAAGCAAAACGACTGCTATGGCTGTCGCGAATGGAATGGCTGTCGCGAATGCAATGGCTGTCGCGAATACAATGGCTGTCACGAAACCTCATCAAAGCTATTGGAAGGAGCTGAGGTGACAAATCAAAGCTCATGGAAGAAGAGAGCTGTTGCCAGAGATGACGATGCTGCGAATCGGGACAACCATATGTCCAGAGCACCACCGCCATCGCTCGGGGAGGGAGGGAAGGAAGGAGGCCTTGAAGGAACAGAGTGGCTAAACCGAGCCACGGCAGCCCGTCCCTTGAGAACTGCGAGCAGCAGTTGCATCCGCTGCCTGATGCGGCGTGCCACGTGGATAGGGCCGTGGTGATGAGGCAATTCGGGCAGTTTGGGCTCGCGCTGGGTTCCTTCCCGGTTCCGTCGAGGGTTGCTTGGCTCTTAGTGAGGTGTTAAAGTTGAGCCCGTGTCATCCCACGTCATCCTCTGACACGATACGTATTGCAAGTGGAGGGGCCACTTTATTGACCAATGAAACGAGGTTGCTGAAAGCACGCGATTAAAGGGTAGTGGCGATGGAGAGCTATTTCCTTGATCATTGGGAGCATGTCGAGTCAGCTTTGGCGATTCGCGCTCCCAAGCAACACTGAACCTAGCACAAATGAAACCGTACCGTTGTGCTGAGAAGGGGGGTTCTATTTCCAGCAAATTTTCCAATAGTTTCTCTAGTCTATAATGAATGTATTGTGAGACTTCTATGGACTCTCTTTCTCAAGTAGCTTGGGCAACATGTTAATTCTCTAAACACCCCTATAGTTCTTAATCAGATCCGGAATCTCAAAACTACATAGAAAAGGAGCACCACAATTTCCTAAAAAACTTCATTCTCATTCATCCATACTCAGCACCCTCTCTTTCCGCTATGCATCAACGATAAGCTTTAAAACTCGACCCAGAATCAACCTCTTCCATTTCCTAACGGACCAGAGGTGGTTTAGGGTTTAGGGTTTAGGGTTTCTGGTTTAGGGTTTAGGTTTTATTAAAACCCTATCTGAGCCTGTTTAAGGTCTTTCATCGAGGCACTACCGGAGGTGATTATACAACGTAAATGGGTATTTATCTCTCGAATAACCATCATTGGGAGTGATGACGTAAACAGTAATACGTATGGCGCGATTGTACCATCAGATCAGATTTACCTCACCGTGGTGCCAATTATCCCTCCACGGTAACGAAAAATTTGCGGCGTCCCAGCGAGGTACCAATTATCTCTTAATTGTAAGAACCAGTTCGCGACGCATTCGCTAAATAATAACCCAGCCTTTCGACATTTTTGAACTGCCCCCACATTAGTAATTATGCGTTATATGAGCATCTCATACAAGCTTTCTTTTATAAAACCAATTTTTCAACTCAGATATGAACGAAATGAAAGATGTTCTATCATTATTAGGAGTAGAAATCAGCTCCGGTGGAAAATATTAGTATGATAAAAAATGATATAGTTCAAAGATATTTTTAGATATCTCTTGTATAATGGCATAAAACAAAACTTCAATATGACTAGCTTGTTTACTAGCGATCGTATCACAAATCTTGGTTTACCCTAAAATGACTAGAGAAAGCTTTCTCAAGTTCATATAAAATGACAAGAGTATGGGATTAGAGTCAAGGGAAACCTTGATCGCCATACACCTAAACAATGTAGCTTTTTCATATTGGCAGAATTGTTGAATTATATTCGATATAATAAATATCAGCCGCGTTAACCCCACGCCAACGATTTGTAGACAAAAGTGGTCGCAGAACTTCATTCGATATTGATTGTAACATAATATTAATATTATACATATGAAACCCTTCTTTAATTGTAGAACCTAACTACATGTCTTGCGTATTATATATTAAGAATCCCCAAATTAGCTTATTTATATTAGCATACGAATTTAGTTTCAATATAATAATTGTGCTATTTTATTATATCATGTCCATATGAGTCAGCACTTTGGTTTCAAGATTAAAATTATGGAAAAATACATCGGCGCTCAGTATTAGGGGCCTTGAGAACATGTAAGGTCAGTGACACGATATGAACAATCAGAACTAGTGAGTTCGCAACATGTTTCATCTGTCGGGTTCCACCGTTAATCACAAACTACAGGAAAAAAATTACACGAATGGTCAGTAGAAGTAACCCTCGCCCGTTTCGGAACGTTTTCCCGGCCGCGCCAGCTCGATTTCGTCACCATTGTGGCGGGCGCGATATTTTTCCCGAGGTCCAAGCGCAGTTCGAGCAAAACAAAACAATGGTCCCAAATTAAAAATCGTTGGACATTTGTTACTCTAGAAACACGAAAACACGATTTTGTTTCGAAGCACATACTTTTGTTACAGAGTGTAGCGCATCCCGCCATGATAAAAAATGACAGCTTTGTATCTACCGCATTTACGGCCAAAAAAAAAAAGTCAAGCCATAAACTTGTCATTCCCGAGTCGCCCGAAAACAAAGCATATATAGATAGCTACGAAGGTTTATTTTCGGGAAATGAATATATTTGAAAACAATTTAAGGTGCTTTCAGAATTGTATTTAATCGTGTATTAATTTTAGTACAACGAATCTATTAGAAGTCTGTCAGTTGTCTTTTGATTTTTTCAACAAATGTATTTACCAGAAAAAAAATTCCGCCGAATTACGAATCTACAGATCTTGTCATGCTCGAAACAAATTAGCGCACGCGCACTACGGTTTAATTTTTACGGCCCAATTAGCTTATGTGACAGAAATGCGCGAGGTCTCAATTTTAGAATTTTGTGTGCGCGAAGTCCAGCGATTTTTAATTTGGGAATAATTTACGTAGTTCTCTCGAATTGCACTTGGAGCTTTAAAAAATATCGCGCCAGCCACAATGATGAGGAAATTGGGCTGGCGCGAGCGGGAAAACGTTCCGAAACGGGCAAGGGTTACTTCTACTGACCATTCGTGGAACTTTTTTTCTGTAATTTGTGACTAACGGTGGACCTGACTGATGAAACACGTTGCGAACTCACTAATTCTGATTGTTTATATCGTGTTACTGACCGTACTGTTATCGAGGCCCCTAATACTGAGCGCCGATGTATTTTCCCTAAAATTATTGTATGAGACACTCCAATAACGTATAATCGCCGATGTTGGCGCAACTCATAAATGTTGAAACGATGGGTTACTATTGCGCCATGTGTGTTACTACTGACTTCATCACCTGTGAAGATGGTACTCAGAAGATAAATACTCTCACGAGAATGCTATGAGGTGACTGTATCACAAGAGCAGGAACAGCGCAGAGTGACGCAGCCCCCAGTCAGCATTCTCTCGATTCAACCCCACCCCATCCACGCCAATCCGCATTTCACGGCAGTCCACCTCATCCTCTCTCAGCTCGCAGGTAGCCACGCACAACCGCAACCTGCGACTGTCTCGCATGCAGCCACCGATATGGCGGCTGTCGACTTACAGACAGCACTGGCATTCTGGCCACGTGGAGCAGCACTGTCCCGAAATATTTCCTGGCGAAGTGGCAGTTCTTCGCTCTTCACATTGCGTGCACTCCCGGAACTGTAGGCATAAAACCTAAGGAAAAAACTTTTCGGTTGGCATGGCAGTGACTATACGACGCAAATGGGTATTTATCTCTAGGATAACCATCATTGAGAGTAATGATATCAAGAGTAATACATATGACGCGATTGTACTATCAGATCAGATTTACCCAAGCGTGGTGCCAATTATCTCTCCACGGTAACAAAAAATCTGCGGCGTCCTAGGGAGGTACCAATTATCCCTCAAATGGTAAGAACTAGTTTGCGATGCATTCGGTAATCATGCGTTCTACGAGCATTCTATACAAGCTTTTATTTGTGAGATCAATTTATCAAATCATATATGAACGAAATGAATTATTTTCTACCATTATTTCAATAGCAATAGAAATCAGCTCCGATGAAAAATATTAGTGTGATTAAAAAAACACGATATAGCTCAACTATATTTTTACATATCTCTTTTATAGTGGCATTAAACAACATTTCAATATGAGCAACTTGTTTACTAGGATCCGTATGGCAAGTACGCTGGTTTACCCTAAAATAACAAGAGAAAGCTTTCTACAGTTTATAGAAAATAACAGAAGGATAGGGTTAGAGTCAATGGGAACCTTGATTGCCATACACCTAAACAATATAGCTTTAAAATATTGGCAGAATGTGTTAAATTATATTTGATAGAACAAACATCAGCTTCGTTAACCACACACTAACGATTTATGGACAAAATTGGGCATTAAACTTCATTCAAGACTGATTTGTAGCATAAATGTTAATATTGTACCTATGAAACCCTTCTTTAATTGTAGCCCCTAACTGTTTGTCTTGAATATAATATATTAATATTCCCCAAATTATTTGATTTATATCGGTATACGGATTTAGTGTCATAGTAATAATTGTGTTATTTTTATTATGTCGTGCCCATATGAGTTAACACTTTGGTTTCAAGATAAATCTTTTTGTATGAGACTCTCCAATAACGCATAATTGCCCATGTTGGTGCAACTCGGAAATGTTGAAACGATGGGACCCATCAGGGAATGCGCCGCGAACTGTTCGTTACCATTGAGGAATAATTGGTACCACACCGGGGTAATGCTGAAATGAGTATTATCATCCCGCCATGTGTGTTACTTCTGACGACATCACCCCTGATGATGGTACTCAAAAAATAAATACTCTCACGAGAATGGTATGAGGTGACTTTATCACAAGAGCAGGAACAGCGCAGAGTGACGCAGCCCCCAGTCAGCATTCTCTCGATTCAACCCCACCCCATCCACGCCAATCCGCATTTCACGGCAGTCCACCTCATCCTCTCTCAGCTCGCAGGTAGCCATGCACAGCCGCAACCTGCGACTGTCTCGCATGCAGCCGCCGATATGGCGGCTGTCGACTTACAGACAGCACTGGCATTCTGGCCACGCGGAGCAGCACTGTCCCGAAATATTTCCTGGCGAAGTGGCAGTTCTTCGCTCTTCACCTTGCGTGCACTCCTGGGTTTCCAAGGTCACTCTGACTCACTCGGAGACGACGGCCGTCTCCGAGTAATACGTTACGCTTTCAACACCTCCTTCAAGCCACTCCTTGTTCACGCGAGACACAACTCAAAAGGGTCAACAGAAGCCTTTCATTCAGAAGGTTTTGTCAATTCTAATCCGTCTTCGCTCAGTCGCTAAATCTGGTGCTCAGGTATCTTCAAATCGTGAGGCTACCTACGAGCGTAGTGCGCTCACGTGAGATTCTTACGATTGGGAAATGACGTCTACTTCAAGTCATGGAGGATTTCCTTGCGTGTAGCGGTTCGCCCTATACCGAGTTCCTTTCTCCGCGTGGCGTGCTCACGACGCTCCGCTGCTCCCGAGGCCTCGACCGCGCGGACTCCGTCGAAGCGGCCTTCGAGATCCCCTCAGTCACGCTGTCCGCGGTAGAAGCATCCTCGGTGCATCTGCAGCTTCAGAAGAACCAAGAAAGAGGCGTTGAGGAACAGTTTATGCTTGAATGTTTGGACGACGGCGAGCAGATGGTGCTGGTTACCAGGAAAACGTCGCAGGTCACGACCGTGGTGAACCTAGGGATTGACGACGACGGCCCTGAGGGTTTCACGAGCACGTCCAACGTGCTCAACGAGTCTGATACAAGCACATCCGTTGCAACCGCAACGGCTTTGAGCACGTCAGGTGCAGGGAGGCGAGAATCAGCGCGAGAGGAGGAGGTTTTAGCCGACGCATCAGAAACAAAGTCCCGCGAGAGCAGCTACGGTGCTCGCGGTGGTGGTGATAGCGCTGATGGCGAATCCCAAACGAAGTTACAACCAGATCCGCGAAGGGACTTACAATCCGATTCGCAAGCCTCTTCGGAGGTCACTGAACAGCGTCACTCGCGACAGGACCAGGAGCCTCTCCAGGGTTCAATCGCAGCCGCCAGATCTCAAGCAACGGCTGCGATCTCGTCATTACGTCCAGCTCTACAGGCCGTGAGGAAGATATGGAGGAGCGAAGAGGCCAGTGAGAGAGGAAATGGAGCTGTGGAGCGAAGAGGGTTCCATGGTGGGGAGGGTGGCTGGAATGATGAGGTTGGAGTTAGGGGAGATGAGGGGGATGGAGATGAGGCGTTGGAGGGAGGCGATGTGGTTCTGAAGCCCATGAGTGCAGCCATGAGTAACACGGTGAGGAGGATCATAAAGAGTTGTGTGTGTCAGGCTACGGGTGTTTTTCTTTTCTTTCCTTTCTTTCTTTTCTTCTCTTTTCTTCTCTTTTCTTTTCTTTTCTTCTTCTTATTCTTAAGATCGTCTTGGGCGTTTCTACCATCTTCTCATACTTGTCGGGGACCACCTCTCTTCTTCAGCTGTGCCTCTTGTCTGCTCTCTATGCAGGTGTACGAATGCGTGTGGCTGCCTCACAGGCAGAGCAGGATGATTGAGATCGAGAAAGACGAGAAGGATAAGAAGAAAGAAAACGAGAAGGAGAAGGATTATTTAGGCGAGAAGAGGGTGTTGGTGCGGCTGTACGGCCCGGCAGCATCGATGCTGCTCAAGAGGGAGCACGAGGAGGCAGTCACCCGAGCCATGTCGGACCTAGGCTTGGGACCGAAGCTGCTGGCCTCGTTCGGCACTGGCAGGGTGGAGCAGTTTCTCCAAGCCAAGGTGGGTGGTAGTCGGCTCGGCGCGTGAACACCGCGTCATTTTTTGGGCCGTGGAGTTGGTTTGGGACTTGAACGCTTGTTCATGCAGGTGTTGGGAAGGCCTGCACGCTTTTGAGATTTCTCTCGCACCCTTAGCACTTGCCTCATTCCTGCCCTTTGCATGTCGCTCCCCCCTGGCACAGCCGTTGACAGCAACGGACATGAGGCGGCCAGAGACATCCCAGCAGATTGCACAGTGCATGAGGCGCTTCCATGCGCTGAAGCTTCCTGGAAGCACACCTGAGGATATGGTTTCGTGCCTGTGGTCGCGCCTTCGGTAGGTCCCTTTCTTGCCTGATGGTTTGGTGGCTTGAATGGCTGGGGGGCTTGAATGGCTGGGGGGCTTGAATGGCTGGGGGGCTTGATGGCTGGGAGGCTTGAATGGCTGGGGGGCTTGAATGGCTGGGAGGGGGGGGATATGCACAGGCTGGCGCCAGCATAGCAATGCTGCTTCCCTTCGTTGCTTTCTCCCAATCCTGCCCCCCCCCTCCCCCTCCTCCAGTCGCTGGCTCTCTCTGGCGCAGCTGCTGCACCCGTGGGGGGTGCACGGGGCCAATCCTCGGCAGCTGGGGGAGAAGATTCAAAGGCTGGAGGAAGAAGCCGAGCGAAGATGGGGGGAGAGAGGAGGGGAGGGAGAGGGAGGGGAGGAGAAGGGGTGTGGGCGGTGGTTGGGGCTGTGTCACATGGATGTGCAGCATGGGAACATTCTGAGGGAGAACGACACGGGGAGAATCGTACTCATTGTAAGCAGCTTTGCTAACCAGGTGACTTTTGAGTCGACTCAAAGGGAGGGGAGGAGAAGGGGTGTGGGCGGTGGGTGGTTGGGTCTCTGTCACATGGATGTGCAGCATGGGAACATTCTGAGGGAGAACGACACTGTGAGGATCGTACTCAGTAAGCAATTTTGTTCACATGGTATGGTGCCTGTGTGGAAGGAATCCGTCCCTTCCATATTCCTATCCTCAACTTTCCGCACCTTCCGATCGTACCATCCCCCCTGGCAGCATCCCACCCAGGGCTACAAATATAGTGCCTTGGGGCATTGGAGTGGTACAGTGGTTGCGCGCATGTGGCATTGGGCATCACGCACCAATTGTCTTGTCGCCTTCATCCTCGCTTCCTATCAGCTTCCCCTGCCTTCCCATCCTACCATCTCGTTTCGAGGTGACTTTTGAGTCGACTCAAAAGTCTCCTCGCTTCCTATCAGCTTCCCCTGCCTTCCCATCCTACCATCTCGTTTCGAGGGGACTTTTGAGTCGACTCAAAAGTCTCCTCGCTTCCTATCAGCTTCCCCTGCCTTCCCATCCTACCATCTCGTTTCGAGGTGACTTTTGAGTCGACTCAAAAGTCTCCTCGCTTCCTATCAGCTTCCCCTGCCTTCCCATCCTACCATCTCGTTTCGCCCCCCCTTCCCACCCTCCCTTTCCCACCATCCCAGAACTACGAGCACAGTGGCTGACGTACACGTGGCATTTGACATCTCCAACCAGTATTGCCCTATTTTCTCCTCGATCCACTCACTTTCCCGCGGCCCACTCACTTTCCGGCGCTCCACTCACTTTCCCGCGGCCCACTCACTTTCCGGCACTCCACTCACTTTCTCACGCTCCACTCACTTTCCCACGCTTCACTCATTTTCCCACGCTCCACTCACTTTCCGGCGCTCCACTCACTTTCCCACGCTCCACTCACTTTCCTGCGGCCCACTCATCCTTCCAACCGATCCTGTTACCTTCTCAGCATCCCAGGACTACGGCAACATTGGCTATGCTCAGCTCACTTGTGTCCGTTGCATTCTCCATCCTTTTCTATTCCGTCATCCTTTCTACTCCCCCTCGCACATCCCCATCGCCACTATCCCACTATCCCAGGACTACGAGTACGGTGGCTATGCCCACGTGGCGTTTGACATTGCAAACCCCTTGTGCCTTCTGCCAAACCTCCCCCCCCCTCTATTTATTTTCATCCTCCCTTCCTTCCCCCTCCTTCCACTACCCCGCTATCCCAGGACTACGAGTACAGTGGCTATGCCCACGTGGCGTTTGACATGGCCAACCACTTCTGTGAGATGGCAGCCGACTATGACAGCCCTCAGCCTCACCTCCTGGACTACAGCAGGTACCCTTGTGAGTATGTATGTAGCCCTGTGGGATTTCATGTGCCACTCTCAGCCACCCTCAGCCCTGTGGGACTTGATGTAGCCTGAAGCAGCCAACGATGACAGCCCTCAGCCTCACCTCCTGGACTACAGCAAGTACCCTTGTGAGTGTTTTTGTTGCCCTGTGGGACTTCATGTGCCACTCTCAGCTTGTGCTCCTGGCCTGGCCTGTGGCAACCAGATGTGACAGCTCACAGCCACACCTCCTAGACGACCAGGAAAGCCCTTGTGAATTATACCCTGCTGTGTGTTCTTGTACCCCTTCAAAAGTGACTTCTCGCGCCTTCTTTCATCGTGTGACAGCTCAACACAGCATGTGACAGTTCAACACAGCATGCAACACAGTCACAACACACATGCACTGTCTAGACACTCACCAGCGTTCAACCCACCACGCCATATATTGACCCACACTCACACAACCCCCTCGCTGGCCCCCAAACCCTTGGCTGGCCCCAACCCCTCATCCCCATTCTTGCCAGCTGAGGACGAGCAGCGGTGGTTCATCGACAGCTATCTCGCCACCAGGCCTTCCCATACCTGTCCCAACCTCTGCTTTGATGCTGAAAGCAGCTCCAGCTACAGTGGTCTCCCCCTTACAAGCAGCCTTGATGCCAGTGACGCGGAGGGCTTATGCAAGCTGTGGATGTGTTTCTTCCAGTATGCCATCTGCATTGGTTCCTCTGGGGCATCATTTCGGTACGTCATTTTAGGCTTTGTAGACGGTGCTTATGATTTGTGCTGCCCTCGTCTTGCGTTTGACAGTTTCTTTCAGAATGCAGTGATGTCAGAATGCCATGTCAAGCCAGTCTATTCTGTTTGCTCTACCCTTTTCGCACCTGATGACTTCTCACGGCAGGCGGCAGTCTCAGATGCTGGTTTTGACTACATGGCGTATGCACAACAGCGGCTGCATGAATTTTGGAAGTGCATGGGTCACTTTGAAGCTGTCTTTGCAGCTTTGTTCTGATGGGCTCCTCAGTAGCATAGCTGTGTGCATGTTGACATTGACGCATTGTAATGATTGGATGGATGCCTAGTTGTATTCGAAGGTAATACATTGGTAGAGAGTTCCTTCTTGCTGTTCCATGAGTGGTTCGTAACAGTGCGTTTCGCAAAACCATTCATGTGCGACTCCTCGCCGACACGGTTTGCGCTGTTGGCTTGGAATTTTTGTGACGGTGGCTGTGAATTCATCCGAATTTTGTGGGATGACCTGTCAACGAAAAATCAGAAATGCATCCGATGTTTTACCGTCAGCCAACATCGCAACTTCCTCGTAGCTAAAAACATTCCAGAACCTCCTCGAAAAACCGTCAACTTCTGAGGTAAAACCAGGTGTTCTGTAGCTTTGGAAACTGCGTTTCGAGGTTAGGTCTGGCGATCTCGACACCCCGAACCTACGAATAAGGTTCGTACAAAGCTGGAAGTTGCCGCTGTCGTGGAGCAACCCCAAGGCTCATCATCCCCTCCCACAACGGCCCAATGACGTGGTCATCCTTAGGGTCACACATCCGACGTGGATCGCTTTCGTGATCTCGATGGCGAATAGGATTTCAGATTCGCACTACCACGAACCCATAGTTATTGGCGACAGAATCCTGCGAACAGGATGCCTCGCCCAGCGCTGAACCCAAGCCAGAGGGCCCTCCCCAGGGATCCCACGCTCTCTGCACCCCTCTCTGTGCCCTGGGCTGCTGGTCAGGCTGGCAGCTGGTGGTTCCGCTGGCGGCAAGGCTTGATTTCTGCTGGGGCGGAGCAGTCAGGTTTTGCCCAGCCTGCTCCCCCTTACCGCTTCCCCTTGCCCAGTCACCAGTATGACATCTGCTTGACACGCTCCTGATCTCTTTATCTCACGGCAGCCATAGCTTGTCGACGAGCTCTCCTCGTGCCATCCTTGCCCGAGGAAAGCTAACCGTTGAAAGTTCAACTTCCACGGGTTGATCGATTTTCGATCCCTTACCCAGTCGTTAGTCTTTCTTCCTGACTGGTTTGTCCCAACAAGCCCGACATGGCTTCTGTCAGCTATGTTGCTGCTCGTGGGATTTCCACCCTTCCCCGCGCGGAAGGTGTGGAGGCCTTGAAGGCCAAGGAGCAGGTTTACCTGAAGGAAAGCTCGTTGCTTGGAGAGAAGCTCAATGTCGCTCGTCGTCAGGCCGTTCCTGTCGCCAGGACTATCTCCCCTGTGTCGGCTTCTCTGTCTTCTGGCCCTCCCGGGACCCACAAGCTCCGAGCTAACAGCGCTGCTGCTCTCGAGCAACTGCGGGTCGCCAACACCAACAGTACGTTCCCAGCGTTGTGCATTAGCGTTGAACCTGTCGCAGTCTGCAATTTCCTTTTGAACGAGCCATAACGCAATGAAACACGAACCTCAGCTAACAGTGCAAATTGCTTCATCCTACCCTGGATCGTCTCAGGGTACACGAGCGAGAAGAGCAGCATCATTGTCGTCGGTCTGAGCGTCCACACCGCTCCCGTCTCGATGCGTGAGAAGCTCGCCGTCCCCGAAGCCGAGTGGCCCCGAGCCATCGGAGAGCTCTGCGAGTACCCCCACATTGAGGAGGCCGCTGTTCTGAGCACATGCAACCGCATGGAAATCTACGTCGTGGCGCTCTCGTGGCACAGGGGCATTCGCGAGGTCACCGAGTGGATGTCGAAGGTGAGCCACGTTCGCTTTGCATTCCGTACCCTTTTTCCCGAATCGGAAAGATTATTGGATGAATCCGGGAGTCTTTTCGTGGTATTAATGTTCCAACCTTTTATCCCGATTCACCCCTCTTCAGTCGAGCGGTGTTCCCGTCGAGGAGCTTCGCCAGCACCTCTTCCTTCTCCGCCAGAGGGACGCTACTCAGCACCTCCTCCGCGTCTCGTCCGGCCTGGACTCGCTGGTGCTCGGAGAGGGTCAGATCCTCGCTCAGGTGAAGCAGGTGTTCAAGGTCGGCCAGGCTGCCGAGGGCTTCGGACGCAACCTCAACGGTCTCTTCAAGCAGGCGATCGAGGCCGGCAAGCGTGTGCGTACCGAGACCAGCATCGCCTCCGGTGCCGTGTCCGTCAGCTCTGCTGCCGTCGAGCTCGCGGCCATGAAGCTCCCTGAAGCTGGGCTCAAGGAAGCCCGTGTGATGATCGTCGGAGCTGGCAAGATGTCCCGTCTCCTGGTGAAGCATCTGCTCTCCAAGGGCTGCAGCACCATGACCGTTGTGAACAGGTCCCTAGGGAGTGTAGAGCAGCTGCAGTCGGAATTCCCCGACGCCACGCTCATCTACAGGCCGCTTCCTGACATGATGCAAGCAGCTGCCGAGGCCGAGGTGGTTTTCACCAGCACGGCTTCAGAGACGCTTCTGTTTGAGGAGGCCAACGTCCAGGGCCTTCCTCCTGCTGGCGATCTCACCGACGGCGTCAGGCACTTCATTGATATCTCCGTCCCTCGCAATGTTGGCTCATGCGTCGCCAATGTCCAGCAGACCAGGGTGTACAATGTTGATGATCTGAAGGAGGTGGTTGCTGCTAACAAGGAGGAGAGGAGAAAGAAGGCCCTGGAGGCTCAGGCTATTATCGAGGACGAGCTCCAGGCCTTCGACGCGTGGAGGGATTCGCTTGAAACCGTCCCGACCATCAAGAAGCTGCGCCAGAAAATTGAGGGAATCAGGCAGGCTGAGCTGGACAGAATCCTGGCGAAGATGGGCGAGGAGCCGACGAAGAAGCAGAAGAAGCTGATCGAGGAGCTGAGCAAGGGCATCGTGAACAAGATTCTGCACGGACCCATGACCCACCTGCGGAGCGACGGCAGCGATGCGAGGACGGTCAGTGAGACGCTGGAGAACATGTATGCTCTGGAGCGGATGTTCGACCTTGCTGCTGAGGAAGCCAGCAGCCGGCGATGATTCCGTCCTTAGCTTAGACCTTACTTTTTCTCTTGTGAAACTGTAAATTAAAGTTGCACCAGTTTTGGAATCGAATGGTTTGTTTAGAATGACAACAATCAAAGGTTTTCTGTGAATCAAAATGTAGGAAAGTTCAGAATGAACAGACACCGTTGTTTTCCAATGGTGAAAGGTTCGTCGTGGGCCCTCTCTGTCCCTATCTCATCTCTGGCACAATCTCCTCTGGAACAATCTCTTCTGACAAAAAGAAAGAATTGGGAGCCATCTTTTGGAATGAGTGGCAGATGTCTCAACACTCAGTTGATGCCACCCAGTTGATCCCACTTGACCAGTGGGGAGGGAGGTGGAGGGGGGAGCCATGGGGGCTACTGGCTGCACACTTCGGCCAATGGAGAAGACTTCACACAGTCAGCAGGCTGCAGGAGGCTTGTGGGAAAGGAATATCTTCTGTACCTTTCCCCATCACTTCCAGTTTCAAGGTCTATACTACATTCCTGTACATTAGGAAAGAACAGAATCTGGAAACCAGACCTTGCTTGTGGTTTGGAGGTATTGTCAAACATGTGTATTTGTCATGTTTGTATAGACTGTATAGAGTCACCTCTTAGAGGATACAAAACTTAGATATATTTGTGTGTACTCTCACTTTACCATCATTTCAATTATTCTGTTATGGTATCAGAGCGTAGATAGGATCCCCCCCCCCCCCCCACCTACCGCTTCCGCTCATGCCCCCTAGCGCCCCTCCTGGGCCCCGTCGCGCTCCTCCCAGGCCCCGTCGCGCTCCTCCCAGGCCCCCTAGCGCCCCTCCTGGGCCCCATCGCGCTCCTCCCAGGCCTCGTAGCGCCCCTCCTGGGCTCTTTCGCGCCCCTCCTGGGCTCCGTAGCGCCCCTCCTGGGCCCCGTCGCGCCCCTCCTGGGCCCCGTAGCGCCCCTCCTGGGCCCCGTCGCGCCCTCCTGGGCCTGTAGCGCCCCTCCTGCCCGCGCGCCCCTCCCAGGCCCCGTCGCGCCCCTCCCAGGCCCCGTAGCGCCCCTCCTGGGCCTCGTCGCGCCCCTCCTGGGCTTCGTAGCGCCTCTCCTGGGCCCCCCGTCGTGCCCCTCCTGGGCCCCGTAGCGACCCTCCTCGGCCGCGTCGTACCCGTCGCCACCGCCCGGCCCCGTCGTGCCCGCCCGGCGCCGTCGCGCCCGCCCGACCCCGTCGCCGCCGCCCGGCCCGTCGCGCCCGCCCGGCGCCGTCGCCGCCGCCAGGCCCCGTCGCGCCCGCCCGGCGCCGTCGCCGCCGCCCGGCCCCGTCGCGCCCGCCCGGCGCCGTCGCCGCCGCCCGGCCCGTTGCGCCCGCCCGGCGCCGTCGCACCCTGCCCGGCCCGTCGCGCTCGCCCGGCCCCGTCGCAGCCGCCCGGCCCCGTCGCACCCGCCCGGCCCCGTCGCACCCTGCCGGCCCCGTCACAGCCGCCCGGCCCCGTCGCACCAGCCCGGCCGCCGTCCCGCTCGCCCGGCCCCGTCGCACCGGCCCGGCCCTGCCGCACTCGCCCGGCCCCGTCGCCCCAGCCCGGCCCCGTCGCGCCCGCTCGGCCCCGTCGCCCCGTCCCGGCCCTGTCGCATCAGCCCGGCCCCGTCGCGCCCGCCCGGCCCCGTCGGGCCAGCCCCGGCCCCGTCCTCCTCACTCGTACGGTCCCCCCCCCCCCCCCCCCCCCCCCACCCCGCCCTGCTCCGTGCTGCCCTGCACCGCACTGCACCGCACTGTACCGCACTGCACCGCACTGCACCGCACTGTACCGCACAGTACCGCACTGCACCGCACTGCACCGCACTGTATCGCACTGCACCGCACCCCACCTAGCTGCACCGCCCTGCACAGCACTGGACTGTTCCTGATGGCGGCGGAGCTTCGCTTCGACGCTGAAGGTCAGCCCCTAGAGTTCGAGGCGTGGCTTGCCGACCTCCGCCGCCAACTCACTGGCCAGCGGCAGGATGGTGAACCGCTTTCCGCACACCTTGACGGTACGCTCCCCTGCCCAGACCCTCCTGCTATTCTGCCCGCTGACCCCACACCCACTGAGCGTGAGTCTACTGCTGCCACTGCCCGTGCGCGCTCTGTCTGGCTTTCTCGCGATGCTGTCGCCCAGCTTGCCATTAGCACCGCCCTCCCCCCGTCCGAGCGTCCTCGCTTTAGGTCCCTCACTACTGCTCAGGCATACTTAGATGCT